TTAAAACATTTAAAAGATTCATCAGTTATTGTAAAAGTGTTATGGCGAGGGTGATACTGTTATTAGGTTTAGTGGGTACTTTTTTCTTTTTTTTACTTTATTTTTCTAAAAAATAAAGTTGTATTCCTATTTCCTTTTTTGTAGTCCTTTTTCTGAATATGTACTTTTGACAGTTGCTTGACTTGAAATGCATATTCTGTTATCTTTTCTTTTAAATCAGCGTCCGTATCAGAAATTTAACTCCAGAATATCAGACACTCAATGTCTAAATCAATCACAAGTCCTTGTATTGCCTGTACCCAAGGTGGCCCCTAATAATTTTAAAAAAAAAACAGTTAGAGTTGATGTCCAACCAGCATTTATATGCTTCAAATGTTTAGGCTCCTCAGAAATTAAAAATGTTCTCTTGGCAGCAGAGTTTGAACATACAGCCTTCAGTGGACCAGAGATTTTCCTGGCTTTAATGGGAGCAAGAGATAATGAGCTTCCAAAGGGGCTGGCAGATTTGGACCCACTTATTTTAAAACATGCCTGACAGGAGTTGGGCTTAATCTGCTTCTCCGATGTTTGGCAGATATCCAGCTTCAGTCTGAAACATGTTCATACTGTAGTCAGTAGATCCCTGAGGGGATTTTTTTAAAAGTGCTTTCATTAAGTCTCTTTGCATATAGAGCCTTCTGACAATAGTGGATGCTTTTTCTTCCATGGTGCTCAAACACATCACGCTAATAAATCTTGGACTCATGTCTTACATAATGTCATTGGCATTTCTGTTCAGACTGGTCCCTGTCAGTTGTAAGGTTGGCATGTATCTTCGGCACCAGTGTCTCGCTCCCGCTCTGGAGTGGTGAGTCACTTTCTCCAGGTATAATGAAGAACTGCGTTCATCTGAAAGGAGCTGTTCAAGCAAAAACACCTGTGGGCTGCACATGATGAATGGCACTTTAGCTGCTCTCTGGGGGTAAAAATGAAAGGTTCTCATATAACTTCTAACCACTGACAGGAAATCAGTGAGTGGGGGGTGAGGTAGACCAATGTTTGGCACTGTGGCTAAAAGGAATCCTTTTAAAAGTCTGTTGCACCGCAGATTGTAGTTGGCCTTTAAATGAGTGGTGTGTTCACAGCATGCTGCGGTTTCTTAAAGTGCCAGCAGACTGGGTGATTTGGGTTGCAGATGTTCCCAAGTTTCAGTGTCTTCTAAGGCAGTCTTCAGGAACCCAGAATGGACCATGAAGTGTCTTATGATCTGGTGTTAGAGTTCTTCATAATTAAAACAACACTGTTTTTTATAAGATGATTTGGTCCTCATTTAGCGGTGCCCCTCTTATCGGTTTTTTAAAGAGTTTAGCAACTTTCTGATATCAGGACTACAACTCTGAAACCAATGCAGTCTCTAACCTGGTTAAATCCCCTGAGCATCAGATACTAAAACGACGAGAATACGTCTCTCAGTTACTGATGTGTGGGGTGCATGAAAGGTTGTAGCAAGAACTTGTGAAAAATATCCATAAAGTCTAAACTGAAAAAAAAAAACTTACCACAGACCCATCCTTCACCTAAACCTAAAGAAACACTATTCTGTATTTTTTTTACTATAGAGCGCACCTTATTATAAGCCGTGCTGACTAATTGTTTTTGAAAACTCGAAATGTCCATGTATATGACGCACTAGGCTATAAGCCTCCGATATCTACTGAACTGTGTCCCACCAAACTTAATGTAGGACTGTAAAAGGAGCTCAACTGTAGGATGAGCTCTACATATAGCCCTTGGAATAGCTCCTGTTAGCTTGTTGGCTCGCAGCAGTAAGAGCTTCTACTAAAAGATGGGGCTTCAATGGCTCTTTATTTCAGCTCTTCGGGAGTCTCTTAATTGGTTCAGCAGCTTTAATGCTGCAAATAAATGTCAAATTGTGTGAATTCTGGACATTTGGGCCGTTTCTCAATTCACTAGAATGCGAATACGGACTCGTGTCCTCGCCAAGTATGTTGTTGAGAAGGACAAATGAAAGTATGGACTTGGTGAGAACGGGAGCACGCAGCATAAATATGGGTCAATTGGAACAAAAGTGTACTCGTGACGTCACCACATGCTCGGCTCGTCTGGAGCTGCATTTCAATCTAATCTCTAGATAATAATATATTATATATATATATATATTTTTTTTTTTTCATTTAGTGGGGGAATAATAATTAACACAGTCAAATAAACAAAAATCAAATGAACATTTTGCCAAATAAAACAAAAAAAAATTGCAATCAGAGCCAGCTATCCTTCACACATGGCTATGCAGAGAGAGGCTATGCGGTTAGCCCTGGCCGCCGTTAGCCTCGGAGGTCCGCTGGTTGCCTCGGCCCTCTCAACTTCGGAATTTCTTTTTTTTAAATTACGCATTTAATCGATCAACGGACCATATAATGTCACTTTAAAGTGTCATATTCTCGCCTCAAATGATCTTAAAACGTATTTTTATTGAACAACAACAACAACAGAAAAGAGACTTAACTTTTAATGGAGGGCTCCATTGAAAGCTGCTGCTGCCGCAGTGCATGCTGGGACAGCTGTCAATCTCAAAAACGGACAAGTCTGCTCTCATGCATACTCTGTAAATAGGGAGGGGCGAGAATATCATCCGGGAACTTTATCCGTTCTCGGTCTGCTGTTCTTGTGAAGTGGATCAGCACTAGGGCTGAGGCTGATGACGTTTTGCGAGTACACAATCACATGAAAACACACAAGTACACATATTGATAAACGGCCTTGGTGTCCGCCATGCCTGGCACTAGCATGTTCTTGAGATTAGCCCCCTTTTCCTTCATATTAAACTTTGACTTCCCCCTCTGGCAGTTATGAAAAATCCACAGAAAAGCTGCATCTTCTTGTAAACCACATAGTTAAAAGCGTGGGAAAAACGTTGCGGCTTATAGTCCGGGAAATACTGTACATGTTACACTATATTCCTAAAACTATCCAACAAATTTTGTAGGCTAAAATTTAGAAAATATTCTGTGCTTCAGTTTATGGTGCAATAGTTACCCCCTGCATGATCGTATGTGAAGCGCATGGAACTTTGACCAAGCAGCAGTATTTGAGAGTTAGGAGAGAGAATGTGTTGCCTGAACACAGCAGCGTTTATTTCTGGGTTGGTAACTGAATTGTCTTGTATACACTGATTTAATATGTAGGTAAAATACTCTCAGACCCAGAAGGATTACTACAAACCTAAAGGAAAGGTTAATTTCATGCCATCCGTCTGTACCTCACGGTCACTGGCCTTTGTGACTAGGGTTGCCAACCGTCCCTTGAAAAACAAAATCGTTCCCGTATTTAATGGAAAAGGAACGCACTTTGTCCTGTATTAGTGTGAGAGTAAACGAATAGTCATTAAAAAGCTAAAGGAAAATGAAGAGAAAGGGTATGTTAAATACAAAACTTATGGTAAACTGCAGGAAAAAGGAACAGCAGAGAGGTCGATTGAGGTTCTTCAGGCAGCTGACCTTCCCAACATCCAAGCTGCTGTGTCCTTTGACCTCAGCATCCCATCTTCAACTGGTTTTGTGAAGAGGATTTTCTCCATAATAAAGTTCTGTTGTTCCACTGAATTAATAAAGGTGAGCTCATTGTCAGCATCAATTATGAACTGTCTTGCTCAGACTTTTATTCTGCAGCACTCAAGACAAACAACTCCTCACTGCTGCAAGAGCTTAGAGAAAATACAAATGAAAAAAAAGTAGGCTATCGCCACATTATGTGGCATTGAGCTAATCATTTCTTTTTCTGTTTTACAACTATAGCCTACAGTCATTGCATTTAAGGCACAAATATGTTTACCAGTTTGCACAAGTTTGCTGTTGCACCAGAAACATGCACTATTGTTTTATATTCATTTTTACAGTTTGAAGTTAAGCAGGACAGGCTTATGTTTAATATACTTATTTTATTCAGCAAAGTTAACTTTTTTATCAAAGGGAATTGCTGGATAATGATATTTTTTTCCACGTGGTCATGTCATCCACAAATATGCATCTAATTCAAAACAGATTTGAGTCAAATAGTTAAAAAATAATAATTTCACACATAAAGGGGGCTGAAAAAAAATCACCATGCCAGGAGGGGTAAAGGCAATCTGGTCACATGAGGCGTCCCTTTTTTTTTTTCTTTTTTTTTAGGCAGTTGGCAGCCCTTTTTTTGCCCCTTTTATGGGCGAAAGGTGGGGTTCAGCCCAGACAGGTTACCAGTCCCTTGCTTTTTCATTTAAAAAAAACTAACATTTTAAACAGCAAAAAAAAAAAAACCAAACACATTTATAAATATAACAAACATAGAAAAATACAACCCTGTTAGTAGGAATGGTATGATGAGGTTGAGTTTTTTAATTTTAAGATGTCTTGTTTATCTTTAATTTTTAATTTTTTTATCTGCTGGGTTCCCTGTACAGTTGGATAAGTAGTGGATTAGTTATGTTGTGTTTTTGTTTCAATCTTTATTTCTTATTCTTTGTTGTTAAGGTCCTACTTTGTGCTTTTTTTCCAACATCATCATCATCTGTTGTTATATTGTTTGTCAGTTATCTGTGCTTGCAATTTTTAATCATAGATATTTTTATTGCTATGAAAACATTTTCAGATAATTCAATCTGTCACTTTGTAGATATTGAAGTTTTATTGTTTTTCTTACACATGCCTGTGTAAATGTTCACTCATTGCAGCCAGAAAATGGCTTAAACCGGAAGGCAACTTGACTTTTGCCTGGATTGTCTTCAAAGAAACTGAGCAAAAGTCCGGTTTACTTCCAGTTCAAGCATGTGTGTGGTTTTCTTGCACACAAACGATATAAAACAAAAATTCATGTAAACAGAAGTCAACCTTTCTTTTTTTCTGTTTTTTCTGTATGTTGGGAACATTAAAAAAAGGATCATTAACCAATGAGAATATTTAAACGCTGAATCTGTTACTGTAAGTTTTCATATGTCGATATCTTTCTCTGTGGTCTCCTTACAGAAGAGGTGAATATACTGCAGGAGCTTTTACCCCAGGTGTCGGAGCGCAGTAACTCCTCCATTATTGTCGGGGGCGCCAGTTGTCCGTTGGTCAGAGTTGGACAGTACGCCACCTTAACTCTCCCTCTGGAACAGATTTTCAGCAATAGGTTTGTTTACTGTACTCTGAAAGTGTTTTTGCTGTTTCATTACATTGTGATAATATAGGGTTTATATTTTGCTTTATTTTTTTTTGTGGGGGAGGTACAAACAAATCTCTAAATAGAGATCAATGGGCATTATTTATGCTCCATACAGCAGCATAAATAAGGGTAATTGTAATTTATCTCCCTAAATTCTATTCTTTGTACAGTTAAAGCAACTTCTTGTGCCAGCATTGAGCATCTAGAATAAAGGCCACGGATTACAGTACAGGGGTCCGGATCCCACCTGCTGACTAATCCGGACCCAACCTGATTTAAAACATTTATATATTATTGCATGTTTTCCAGGCTCACGAATGAGCACCTTGATATGTGCTTGAGAATGGCTTTGTCGCCATTCAAACCAAGTTTTAAAAGCCTTGCAGGGCAGCGTAAAGCCCAGTGCTCTCATTAAGCCAAAAAAAAAGAAAGGAAAAAAATAACAAACGGTTTTAGATTTTGAAATGGAAAAATTTTCCATTTTACTTTTTAGATTTCTTTTAAATTTAAAAATTCAATGTATAACATGGATGCATAAACAACTCCTTTTATTTCAGTGTTAATTTAGAGTAACAGATAATAATTAAAAATTACTGGTTGTTGGTTTTCTTTATTCGGACCCCACTGATTTTTAATTGGTTACCCCTGATCTAGAGAATAAAAAATATCCATACTGATTTAAAAAAATAAAAATAAAAGCTCTGTCAGATTGTACAGAGACTATTTCTAAGCATCAGTTTTTGAGTCATGACATCAGCTCTTATTTGGATTCATATTTAGCTCTATCCATCTTCCTATCAACTTGGTCCAAGTTCCCTGTCTCTGCTGAAGAAAAGCAAATCAGGCAAGTTAGAGTCAGTGTCTGGGTCAACTGAGCACCTTTCTTAGTGTATCCCCTAAAAGGCTGGGCTTCTTTTAACATTAGCTTTTCTCTTGTTATTTTCCCGTACATATGAGATCTGTGGAGTGCAAAATGAATAGCTGTCCTATTAATGAATTGTTCCAGCATAGCTGTAGATATCTACAGCCTCTCCCCAGTTGCCATTGGCCTCCTGTCCAAGCTGTCAGTCTAGCCATGTATTGGTAGGTTTCCTGCTGTCTTAATATGCATTTTCAGATGAAAGATTTAACAGTTCCCTCAAATCTTCAAGGATCTAAAAACTACTTGCTTGCTTTTGAAATTGTGCATTGGTATCAGAATAAGAGTAGGCTCAGTGAAATGCACATCACAGTAGAAAACCTGTTAACCACTACTGGGAGCTGAATTGCCAGATAAAATCCCAGTAAATCCATTAATCTGTTCTCATCTACAGACTGCCAGACGAGTTCAGTTTACTGATGCAGCTTCGTAGTCTTCAGAGGGAAGAACACAGCGTGTTCACCATCCTCAGCCCCGACAGTCTTATCATGCTGCAGATTCGGATCAGCGCCTACGCCATCATTTTCATAGGAACGCAGCAGCGCCATTACGAGTGAGTATGCCTGATTTATATATATGCGTGCGTTGTGTGTGTGTGTTTGTATGTATGTATGTATATGTATGTATATATATATATATATATATATATAT